CAACAACATTTATTTTCTTGTTTTGTATTTTGAGAATAGTGGGCTAGTTCAAGCAATTGGTTTACTGTAATGACAGTTAGCCTAATTGCGGCCTAATGACTTTCCTATACAAAATAGAGGAACTTTTTTCTTATGGCAGCATTACATCAGAGGCTGACTGGTGGTTAAAATTATACCCTCTGGGTATTTATTGTAAAAGGAACAAGAGACCTTTTGTGCCATAAGTTATCAAAGCAACTCGGAATAATCCATTTGATTATGTTCTGTGAAGAATCAGGATGTGCGCTTCTTACACGTAGATTCAAAACCAGTATTCCCTGAAAAAGCAGAGTGAAAATTAAACAGTAAAAAACTGCAGAAGCATTCAGTGCTAATATTTCTACCAGATGGACTGTCCAAGTGAATACTTTCTTTGTATCATTCAGCGTATGACTGTACATTGTTATACCTTCAATATGTAAACAAGAGAAAGGTATGTGCCTTATAAACTTTTATAAGTCTGGCATACTTAATATCCATTTACCGTATATTAATAAATGGCTTGGCTCAGGATATTTCCAGCCACATATCTTTAATGTATTTATGTATGTTAGCCCATTTGCAGTTTTAACCTGTAACTGTAAAGTAGCCACTGCTCTAAGTTCTCTCCTGTGATGGACTACAATCTTGTGTTCAGTTTACTAATTTCTATTGAGATTGTAGTCCATACAGTAAATTAGTTCAGGTAATATTTTCCTTCACCTCCATTACTACGGATCAGTTGTAATGCAGCAACCATTACCTGATGTAATCTTTATTTCTTTCAAGGTAAATATTTTATTTGAAATACAAGCCCACAATTCATCTCTTCTCCAGTTGTGGTGGAACTATAAGGGCTATGACACATTGCAAGACTCTGACAGCCACAGGCATGACTCCCAAAGTCAAAGGCATGATGGGATTTGTACTTTGGCCACAGCTGGAGGGCCAAAGTTTGCCTACCCCTGCTCTATTTTATTAGTTTTAACATGCAGTTTCTTTATTAGGCTGAAACTAATGGTGAAACTACAATTCCATTTCACTTTTCGTATTCTTCTTTTACAATAAGTATTGGTAAATGTCAGACAGGTGCACTTTAAATGCTAAGGTTATTGCTATAGGCCTTTACATGAAGAAAAGGGGAACACATCACAGCTATGGATCATTTGTTGTACTGAGAGTGGACTTTGTTGCTTCTTGATATGCTGTTCCACATAATCTATCCATCTGGCTTTGTCTTGCAATAGAAGCAGTGAAGAATGGAAGAACATGTTACAAGAGCTGCTGCGTATTATGTTTTATTGTTTGGGTTTTTTTTAAACTTTTTATTGCATGAAGTCTACTGGGTACGTTTAATTAACATAAATAAAACGGAAAATGTATGTTTTACAGATTATCAGGGTCTCAGTCACTGCCTAGATAAAATGCATGTGCTCTAGTGACTTATTGGCATCATTTTGCATTTTAGTTTTTTCATGATACTACGCATTCCATTTTCCATTCCTCTGAGCTGTGTGAGCCCCCCAACCCCAGACACACACACACACACACACACACACACACACTTCCTTAGCCTGTGGTAGCTTGGCTATTAACCAAATTGTAAATGATACTTTCCATATGTTTGATAGGTAGTCAACCTAAAAGTGTAAGAGTAAGATGTGTATTACTTTATGTCAATAAAGTACTTCCATCTTTTCTGTGAGTAGTTGTAGAAGGGCATAATACTTCTGCTAGGGACATTGTAATCACTGTAGCCTAAGGACGTGTATACACAGTTATGTTTTCTTTGTTCAACTTGCCGGTTAAACAAAAACAAAATGTAACAGATTCCTCCATCAACGCTTACGAACATTGATGGACAAATCCTCTGTTGTTTGCTGGTGGCCGCTGTCAGAATACCATATTGGAGCTAGCAGCTGATTGGCTGCAAGTTCTGTTCGGCTGAGAATCTTCCAATCGTCTCCTTCGATCAGCTGATCAAGGGATGCCAGGCGGAAGGGTGCCGACAGTGATACCCACTGTGCATATTTTGTCCTGCTGGTCATCAGGAACTGGTTGAAATTCATACCATGAAGACCATTCCCCCATTTAATCCAGAACTCAGAGTTTAGTGTTTTAATCCAGAACTCAGAATTTAGTATTTTATTCCAGAATTCAGAATTTAGTCTTTTAGTTCAGAGCTCAGCGTTTAGTGCAGTGCATGCCCACTTTTTACAGTAATATAATATTATGGGGAAAGTAAAGACGTAGCTTGTAGAAAACCTGCAGTATGGAATCGTTGATTACATGGGCCATTCTCCTTGCACCGTTCTTCTTCTGCACTGCCAACTTGAAACTCCTGTTCCTGTTGCTTTCTGGTTTTCAGGCACAGGCACACCACAGATCTCTGCTAGGTCCCAAGAACCTGGCAGAGACCTGCAATCTGTCTGCACATCAAAATTGACACATTGAAATCCCACTGAAACACAACCCCGTTGGATGTGTGGCATGGACAATCCAGGAGGCAATGGGTGGCTAATCCTATGTCACCCTCACCTAGGTGAGGAATCAGGAACCGGTGTGTTGGGATGTGTGACGTGGACAACCCAGGAGGCAATGGGTGGCCAATCCTATGTCACCCTCACCTAGGTGAGGAATCAGGAACAGGTGTGTTGGGATGTGTGACATGACCAACCCAGGAGGATATGGAGGGCTAATCCTATGTCACCCTCACCTAGGTGAGGTATCAGGAACCGGTGTGTTGGGATCTGTGACGTGGACAACCCAGGAGGCAACAATCCTAGGTGAGGAATCAAGAACCAGTGTGTTGGGATCTGTGACGTGGACAACCCAGGAGGCAACAGAGGGCTAATCCTAGGTGAGGAATAAAGAACCAGTGTGTTGGGTTGTGTGACGTGGACAACCCAGGAGTTGACGGATGGCTAATCCTATGTCATCCCTTACCTAGGTAAGGAATCAAGAACCAGTGTGTTGGGTTGTGTGACGTGGACTACCCAGGAGTTGACGGATGGCTAATCCTATGTCACCCTTTCCTAGGTGAGGAATTAAGAACCAGTCTGTTGCACAGAAGAAAGACAAAGACAGAGGGGGAAAAAAAAGACAGAGATATCAATTACTTTTTTAGATGTGAATGACCAGCCCTCTGTTGCACATTAGGCATATAACAAGGTTTTTACCTGTGAAAATCAAAAAGCATAACCCAGTACTAGAGGCAACATTCTTAGCTAACAGTCCACCAATCAAGAGCTTGAGTGGACAAAGGGAGGGGGGCATACTATCTCTAAGCTGGAAGAGAGCCTTGTAGTTCTTTCAACACTGCTTTCTGGTAATTATGGCCCTTCCCATTTCCTGTGCATCTACTAGTGACACCTGTGAACAGCTTCTGTCCTTGCTGGTACTTCCATGGGATAGAAACCCATATTGATTAATGCAGTGCTAAGGACGCTTGGGAGTGTGATATTCAATAGAAACCTTTAGAAACTATCTCTTAACTAAAGTGACTACAGTAAACTGAAATCTGATTTCTTGCTATGGGTTTATACAGTTTCCACATTTCTTTGCTCTACCCTATTCAATAAGCCTTTATTTTGTTTTCAGCTGATTCTCATGGCAGTGGCTCTTTTATTATAGGATGATAGACAGTACATGTATATAGCTATTCTACAGCATTTAGTTAGCAGTCTGCAATGGAATGGGCGCGTGAGAACTTGCTTAACTGAAGTGAAACAGTGGATTCTAAGGCAAAGTTCACTAAAGTCTGAAGGATGCAGCCAAGAAATACAACCCTGGCACTCGGTCTTATGATGAAATGACCAGAGTTTAAAGGAAGTTTAAAATGGAACTATGGGCAGCATCAAAAATGACATACATGATGTCCCCTCGTAACATAGTTTTATTACCTGCTGATCTTGCCAGTAGATCTGTTATTTTTCTGTTATTATTCTTTTTGTAATAGGGTGTCAATATTGTTTATGCTGCAGTAAAATCACACAGCAGCGTTGTCACTATGTGCACAGGGTAGTCTTAGATGGATATGTAGTTTTAAAGGGACTTTAGGCTAAAGACAAACAGATTTAAGTACAACTCCAGCTAACGTTTTTCAGCAGTTACCGAAATTGTGTTTTGTTACAGGAAAAAGGTTTCAGTCATAAGAATAAAAGCTCACCATTGTATGCACCCCCGCCAATTGTAATATTCCATTTTTTTTCTCTCGTTTTCCTTGAATTCATACTTATGTAATATGAGAGGGCCACAGAGTGCCATATTAATGCTGTATACATTATGAACACTAGTCAGACATAATGGCACCACTGAAATATGTTTTTTAAATTATACAGTACTCAAGTAATTTTTGTTTTTCCGAGTCCTCCATGTAACATGTTTTCTTACCTGTTGATGCCTGCAAGCACATCACATTACTGTAACAAGCCAAGTTGCCCAGTAAAAGTTATAGGGCTGTGAAAATACATTTTGTTAACTTGTATTTTCTCCTTTTTTCTAATACATTTTTGTAAAGGAAAGATAAAAATTTAAGCTAGCAATAATATTGTCTTTTGTAAGGCAGAAAGTAAAGTGAAGTGGTGGTGAAAGGGTGAATAGATGATATTCATCATCATTACTTGAATTGTAAGATTTATGTAAAACTAAAATAAGGGGAATCTTGGGGCCTCAAAAGAGTCCTGACCCCTTCCTGCAATCTATCAGCTTGACAACTATTGGTAAAGCTAATGCTGCCTAGATTTATAGATTGCATAGTTGCCATTGTATAATAAAAATGCATAACCACTAGTTGTTAATCCATTTGAGCTTTTTTTTTTTTATTGCTATCAAAATTCTTTATATATGTTTAAGTTCCATTTTTCAGTTAAAAATTTGTATTTGTTCTATATCATGGTGTTTTTGTTTATATTATAAATTGTGTTGTTTAATAGTTCATGTAATAAATATTGAATAAATATTTTTTCTGTTTTTATATACAGGTCTTCGAGCTTTACCTGTTGCCCTGGATGGAGACAGCAAGGAGAAGATTGTTTAATAGGTAAGTAAAATGTAGTATTTAGATATGTGTATTTCCACAGAATGTTGGCTTGTGGCACTGAGATGTCAGTCATTTTCTTCAGATAGTTTTTGACACTGAAAAAAAGGCAGGTGTGCCCTCTTGTAATGCACCATGAAAGCTCTAGGAGGAGAAGTTGTGTGAGCAAGTCTGACAGAAGCTGATTGGATGGATGATTATAGGGGGGTGGGGGGAACCCTCCATCATGCTGCTCCCTGCTGCATAGAGGCACTAATGTCACTCAAGAAAAGGGGGCATTATAGGCTGCTCCATATAACGTTCAATCTTTCATTCAGTCGAGATTCTGCCATCACATCAATCCTGACTAGTGAGCACAAGTCCTTGATGTCCAAGCCATTGAGAAAGGGACCGGATAACATCCAGCATCATCCTGCCTCTTTTTCAGTGGCTTGGGCATCAAGGAGGAAATTACCGAATGGCCATGGGCTGAATGGCAAACTGTGTTCATCCAAAAGGAGAAAAGCAAAAAAATCCTTCAGGCAGGGTTCACACCAAAGTCTGCATTCCAGAGCGTTCGGCCTCTGGCCCTCAGTGTAATTCAGAGACAAACTTGAAGCTGAACTTTCCTGTCAATGGTGAGCCTGTATTTGATCTTTAACTAGTAAACCCTTACCCTGAAGTTAATCTTAACCCAACTTAACCCCTAAGATTGATCCACTTTATCACTTATTAGGTAATCCATCAAAACCCATACCTTCCTTGTAATTGCTGAATTAGTGCATGCCAAAATCAGGGCTGAAAAGTCCTCATGCCAAAAATAAGCAGGCTTGGAATTTTCATGATGCTATTTATTATTTTGGCACCTTTGTACTATTATACATTAGCAGGGCTCGAAAAATCCACTCGTCCACTCGTCTGTGACGAGCAGACAGTGATTTTGACAAGTCTTTTATTTACGTAATCCCAGAGTCAATCACGACGTCCAGCATTGTACACGACGACTCGACGAAATAAAATAAATAAATCAATATAAATATATATTTTTTAAACCTGATGCCCACCAACCCATCCGCTCACGACCAACTCCCGCCGCAGAATGGAATTCTGACAGATGCCGTCAAAATATAAACAAATGGACGGAGCTAGCAGTGACCGCTAGCTACGCCCAACTGTTTACATTTCACCGGCACCTGACAGGACTTAGCTGTGTGAGCCATGATTGGGCAAAGTCATCATTACTTTGCCCAATCATAGCTCTCACAGTGCACTGTGGTGTGATTGCGTAAAGTCTTGCACCTGACCTGTGGTTAGGTTCATTGCTTTACCCAATCAGGCCTTCACAAGGTGTGCAGTGCCTGGTGGGAGCTCGGCGGGCAAACAGCGCGCCGAACGCCCTGATAATTTGTGTGTTCGCAGAACACACGAACTGCCGATGTTTGAGTCGAACTGTTGGTCGACTCCAACATCGGGACCTTGATAGGTGTTATTTCTGTTACCTAAAGCTGATGTCCTCATAGGTTCTAGCTCATGCTTTGTGTTACTATTGACACTTAGAGATGTCTTTAGAGGTTCTAGGTTATGATAGGTGTTACTGCTGCTACCTAGACCAGATGTCTTCTTGGGTTCCTAGATTGTAAGATATAGCTTTCACTTTGTGGTGCTCTAGAGGAAAGGTTCACCCCAAAATGTAGTATATTACAGCTTTCTTTCTACCAGTCCCTAGATGTGGTGGCTTCCAATTTTAGGAGGACTACAGGACTTTGCTCCTCTGCTATTATCCAAAACAAAATAGGGCAGGGTTCTGCAGTGCTCAGAGACAGCTGAGAACAATGTAGCTGATAAAAGTCTGCACAGGTAGAGAACACAGGAAGTTATCAGCTCACAAGAGTTTTGTCAAGATCAACAGGTTTTTTGTACTTATCGAACAGATGTTACAAATCACTTTTAACGGTGTATAGGTAAAAGACCAAAAGGGGTCAAAAAGGGGAAGTTCACTGTTTAGAGTTTACATACACTTTGATTTCAGTGCGTATTTTACAAATGCTTCTATGATATCTGTAAATTCTGTCCAGTTTTATTACCACATTATAAAGCTCCCACTTGGTCCCTGGAGGGATGAGAACCAGTGGCCTGATACATAAACAATTTTTTTAATCAGTGGACTTCTCATACTTAACATGCTTCACTGTCACTTATTAGATCGGAATGTTGGACCATGAACTGAGAAATTTGCAGAATGTCTTGTAATAAAATGGGGAAACAAATTTAGCCAGTTTTACTTCTTTGAGTTTGGATGATAGTGTGCTTGTGGCGTAAGATAAAAAAGGAAGTGAGCACTAATTATATCCTGCAACAGCACACAAAGGAAATTGTCTTTTTATGCGTCACTGAAACTAAAGCAAAGTCATTGTTGTGCGATCAATTGCAAAATCACATGCTAGCTGCCTTGTTTCCCTGAAACCATGCTGCTTGTAATTTAGAGGATATGGTGATGTAACGCATGCTATACACTGTTCAGTTTTCATCAGCAATTCAGCTAACCCCACATTACTAAACCTGTCCATACACCTTGCGATTATCGTTCGATTTCTTTCGTGCCCTCATCGAACCATCGTTCAATTTCCGCTCTAATACCCCATCAGGCACAGACCAATGTGGATTCCAATTATCGCTCGTTAGCAATACTAACTGGCCGAATTCCGTCAATCGACAGAATGGATTTTCGTTTGCGCGTGTGTCCATGTCGTGATTTTTTTCGTACAAAAACGCCACTCGATTTTCGTACGGTTCAAAAAAAGTTTTCCAGCCTGACCGATCGGTGAAATTCGGCCAGGTGTACAGCAATTGTAATTCACTTCCCCTCAATTGGCTGATTATCGTACGAAAACCCGATCTCGTTCGATTTCCAAACGATAATCGCAAGGTGTATGGGCACCTTAAAGTTAATGGGAAAGCTTAGTGATTGGGGAATTGAAGTAGTGAACCATAATGAGGACTGAGAGCACTCTGCCATAGTGGTCGCAGAGATTTTCAGCATGCTCAAAATTATTTGTCCACAAAAAGAAGTTTAAAGAAGAACTTTGGGCAGAAATAATCTTACCCAGTACAGAATACAATATAAATGTGATGATTACACATATAACACCCACGTGTATATCTACATAGAAAAATAAGAAGTGTATCAAAAAGTGTAGGAAATCTCCATTAGGCCCAAAAACAGTGATCAACACTCCCCTTCCGTCTTCCACCACATGCACCCTGTGATCCAAAATGAACAGTGGGGTGCTCACCTGATGTTATGGACCCACCACGCAGTTCTCTTCTTAGTGGAGGAGGGGACCCCTGATTCCAATGGTAATTCAGTGGTAACATCCCAATGGTAATCCAATGGTAACATCCCAGAATATTCAGTACCCAAGAAAAGATAGATAAAACAACCACAGCAGGTACCATCCGGATGAAGACATTTATTATTAAAAAGGTACTCACATAAAGAACAGTTATTCGAGCATACAACAACCAACCGCTTCCCGTGTGAGGTAATACCCACAGCCTCTTAGAAGGGAGATACAGTCAACTCCACCCTGAGGGCCTGTTCACATGAGATCAGGTCCTGATCACGTGCTGATCAGCAGACGTGGAGCTGCTGATGCAGTGCGTTTTTGACGCGTTTTTGATGCGTTTTCAATGCATTTACGGTCCGGATGCTGACAGTTAATTTTTTGTCAACGTTGATGACATCATAATAAGTGGAGCAAGAATACAAATTTTTCTTTTTTTCCCCCCTTAGCTGCATTGCGTTGCGTTTCCGTTCCGTTTTCGTTGCGTTTTCATTGCGTTTCGTGCGCGTTTGCGTATCCGGACCGTTTCCGGACCTGACAAAATGTGACATGCAGTATTTTTTCTGTCGTAAGCTGAACGGACTGCGCACGTGAGAACTGGAGCCCATAAAACACATAGGGATACATTGGGATGCATTTTGAGTGCAGCAGCGTACGGAGCCGGTCAGCACACAAAATGGACGTCGTGTGAACAGGCCCTTAGTCCCGTCTACCCGGCCGGTGGTACACATATGTAATGCTTAGAAGCTTCTACACTATATATTGGCACAGATTATTATTTCTTTATAATCTTAACCATTGCAGTGGAGCTATCCCTGCACTGCAAGGGTTAAGTGCTCAATTTTGTCTAGGGTGTGAAATAACAAAGATATACTCACCTGAACCTCAGAGCTGGCTTGCTGCTAGACCAGCCCATGCAGCCCCTCTCCTCCCTTACTTCGGTGATGGAATGTCCCTCAGCATCCTCACCTCCAATACACTGTATGAGATGTGATGACTCACAGGATCTTAGACCATTGGAACGGAGGGGAGAGAGGCTGCAAGGACCTGTCTAGGAGCTATCTGGCTCTGAGGTTTAGGTGAGTATATCTTTGTTATTCTCATCCTTCGATGAAAATAAGCACTTAACCCTTGCAGTGCAGGGGTAGCCCTACTGCAAGGGTTAAAGTTATTTCTGCCCAAAGTTCTCCTTTAAATGATAATCTGTATATTGACTTCAGTAAAGGAGCAGTTACAATCACTTTATAACATTCCCAATCAGTTTCTGCTTATTGGCATTGGCTCTAGCAGTATTCTTAATATAGAAATGTAAAGCTCTTCACCCCCAAACACCCCAAGTATAAAGTGAATCTAAACCCAGGAACAAAAATATAATATATTGCAAACTACCAGTCCTTCAATGATGTGGCTGCATTGGTTTTCCTTTCATTAAATCGAGAATAATTTTCCCATTGACATAAGTCCAAAACATGCCCTTAAAGGTAAAGAAACACACCTGAATTGCACACTTGCTCAATGGCAGCTCCAGTGTATGTCTGCATTAAATTCCACAAAGAAAAGCAAAAATTGAATCTACTTTACAGAACAATATATAAATTTATGAGCACACTTCACAGCTTGTCAGCTTCAAAAGAAGCCTAAACGGTTTCAACAATTTGGATTAGGAAGTCAGGTCCAAGT